TCGTATCCTCTCTATTTAATTAAGTAGGTACTCTTTCCTTACCACATTCACCGTCCTATCTCAAAGAACGTTTTGAGTTCTTACACAATTCACATTGCAAGATCTTGAGACCGTCAGAGAATTAGAAGTTGAAAATGCCCAAGCATACTACAGAATAGACTGACAAATTGTTTTCGGTGCATGCAAATTTCCGCCATCGTTCCACAAGGCAAAATTTTCATCCTCATTACCTGGATAGTTGGCGCTCCACTACTGTGCGCTTTTCGAGACACTTTTTGCCTCGCACAACCAATCTGTTGAACGGGTTATCGTCTGCGGTATTTTCGGACCGATACGACCTTCAAACCTTCAAGAAAAGAGCGTACTCCTTCCTAAAAGGCCGGCAACGCGTTTGTGACTCCTGAGTTGCAGACGTTCATGGGCGGCGATAGTCACTTTCGATCAGCTGACCCGTCTGCTCGTCTGACCCCTCTAACATAAAAAAAAGGCAGTTAGACTGTAGAATAGTTATTCCACAGTCTAACTGCCTGCATCGAGAACGTTTTCTCATGTAAGTTTACATGAGGCAATTCGACAAATTAAATCTTTTCAATTCTTCATAAAACAAGTCACAAATTACTACTTGATAGTAATTTGTGACTTGTTTTTTGGGGATATTGATTGTTGTTAAAACTTGGTACGTCATAAGTTAAAAACGATTTGTTTATTTATGGATATTATGTATTTATTTGCGTATGTATTTATGTGTTAGTAGTATGTGTGTTTACATATTAATGATCTAGAGTATTATAAAGTTTAGTAGTAGCGAATAACAATCGACAGTAACTGTAAGTATTTCATTTTACCGTAGAAATTGAATCATTATATAACACTCGATTACCAAAAAAAATGGATTTAAAAACATGTGTGGAAAAAGTTGCTTTATGATTTAACTGTTTCCTTCCTTATTTTCTATTGTTAACCTACTATTACTGTTATAAAAAGGTAAAGTGTGTGAGTTTGTAAGTTCGAGGTAATCTTCGGTACTACTGATCCGGTTATGAAAATTCTTGCACAGTTAGAAAGGTGAGTGCTATAGACTCCGTTTTACCCCGATTAACGACATACAAGCGGGAGGAGACGCGGGCAAAAGTTAGTTAGTTACAAATGAGGAACCACACCAAGGACACGCCGCTTGAAAGTCCTTACTACACAAAAATATAACATTCATCACAAATGCTGGTAAGGGTTATTGGGTGTAGAAAATGGCAGATGATACAATGCCATACCTTGCCACCACACACGTTGTGGGTGTTCTCTACCGCAATAAGCGACGTGATGGGGTCATTAGGTCGTGGAAGACGCGCCTTCTAAGGAACAATATATATTTATGTTGTAGTAAGTAGCTTAACTCATTAGCATTATATCATCATCATCAACAGCCATTATTTATTTTTAAAAGGACTCCCGCACTAGGAATAAATCCTGTGTCGCGGGGGACTTTACAAACATACATGAAACGAACACAAAGAGCACCCAGACTCAGAACAACAATTTATGGATCACACAAAGTGTCATTCCATGTGAGGATCGAACCCATAACACTCAGCGGCGTGGCGACCGCTTAAACCATTACGCCATCCGTGCAGTCAAGTCCTTTAATAAAGTCAAGTCGTTTAATAGTCCACTGTTGGACATAGGCCTCTCCTCAAGGAGGATGTGGCCTACTATACTCGCTGGCCAAATGGTGTGGTATACTTCAAAATTTTCCTCCTCCTTGCAGTGCTGTTGTACTGCGTGTGAGTGCGTCACTACACGGACAATTAGCATTACATTTATTTCTTATTAGCAGACAACTAACACAACACCTTGTCTTGGATGAATCAAGCTTCGCCACGTATGGGCCAGTGGGACCGGAGTGATAGTGATAGGCTTCACAGAAAACCTGTGTTAAGCAGTTCATTCGTTGATTTTTACCAAGTCAGTGTTCATTCGTTGATTTTTACCAAGTCAGGTTACTAGAACCCAAACCCCTAAGTCTTCGGGGTTCTGGGCACTCAAAGAGCGGCAACATACTTGTGGGTCTTGAGGGCGGCGGTAGTCACTTGCCATCAGGTGACCCATCTCGTATGCTCTTCTATACATTAAAAAAAACCTTTGCTTTTTTTCACGCAGGACCTGTTCTTTTGACAACAGTAACCTTTGAAACTTCTTATGAAATTACTTACCTGCTAGTTATGTTAAAATCGGTCAAGAACACGCGTTAGAAGGTTGCGTGACAACTTTTTACCTTTATCTTCCGTCGAGTCATACCAACTTTAGAAAAAATAGCTACCTGCCTAGAGTTTTCACTGAGTTGAATAAACTAAATAGTGACAGTGGTTTCATCTTCTTAGTACAAGTGCTGGTAGTGCTAGATCTTATTTAAACGTCAGATTTGCTGATAGTGTTGCCTGCACTACTACAGTGTAAGTTGTGACTCTTGTTTTTGCATGTGTTTCATTTGTTTTTCATCTATTTACATTAGATCTTATTTAACCGTCAGACTGATAGTGTTGCCTGCACTACTACAGTGTAAGTTGTGACTCTTGTTTTTGCATGTGTTTCATTTGTTTTTCATCTATTTACATTAGATCTTATTTAACCGTCAGATTTGCTGATAGTGTTGCCTGCACTACTACAGTGTAAGTTGTGACTCTTGTTTTTGCATGTGTTTCATTTGTTTTTCATCTATTTACATTAGATCTTATTTAACCGTCAGACTGATAGTGTTGCCTGCACTACTACAGTGTAAGTTGTGACTCTTGTTTTTGCATGTGTTTCATTTGTTTTTCATCTATTTACATTAGATCTTATTTAACCGTCAGATTTGCTGATGGTGTTGCCTGCACTACTACAGTGTAAGTTGTGACTCTTGTTTTTGCATGTGTTTCATTTGTTTTTCATCTATTTCCATTAGATCTTATTTAACCGTCAGATTTGCTGATGGTGTTGCCTGCACTACTACAGTGTAAGTTGTGACTCTTGTTTTTGCATGTGTTTCATTTGTTTTTCATGTATTTACATTAGATCTTATTTAACCGTCAGATTTGCTGATAGTGTTGCCTGCACTACTACAGTGTAAGTTGTGACTCTTGTTTTTGCATGTGTTTCATTTGTTTTTCATCTATTTACATTAGATCTTATTTAACCGTCAGATTTGCTGATAGTGTTGCCTGCACTACTACAGTGTAAGTTGTGACTCTTGTTTTTGCATGTGTTTCATTTGTTTTTCATCTATTTACATTAGATCTTATTTAACCGTCAGATTTGCTGATAGTGTTGCCTGCACTACTACAGTGTAAGTTGTGACTCTTGTTTTTGCATGTGTTTCATTTGTTTTTCATCTATTTACATGTGTGTGTGTTCTTGGCTTTGCATGTGTTTTCATTTGGTTTGGATCTATTTACATCTATCTATAATCATCTACTTAGAATGTTTCTTGTGTATCTGTCGAAGCTTGTTATTGGTATTTCATCAACTAAATGACTGATGTCTTGTACTGTAGTTGTAAGCTCTCCAAATAAAATAAAATTAAAATAAAATAAAAAGTTGCATTAACAAAAAAAAACTATTATCTTGATAATTCAAACTCGACACTTATCACATTTATTTGTATAGATGTTTACATGTCAGTTATCATAGTCCACTAGATTACTTAAGACCAACTCCAGCTGACAATCAGACATATTTCCTATTGTTAATGTATTGATGTCATCACAGACATCTCGTCGCGAACTAACGTCCGGTGCCAACAACAAAGTATAGATTACGCATAAATCCACAAACACAAACACACAGACAGACACACACACACTCGCACACGCTGACATATACACGTATATCCATAAATACATTCCATTATCATAGTTAATATTGTAAAACCATTGTAACTCTAATTAAGTAAGGCACTGACTCCTAAGTTTTTTTTTTATGGTATAAGAGGGTAAACAAGCAGACGGGTCACCTGATGGTAAGCAACTACCGCCGACCGTGGACACCTGCAACTCAAAAGTCACAAGTGCCTTGCCGCCCTTGGTGTCACAATACACATACAGGTTAATCAACATAGTTTAGGAGACAGAGCATTTATCAAAATATAACTTTGATGGTTCAATAAACTTGTTTGTTTGTTTGTAGTAATTTAAAAAGGATTATGACCGTGGCATCCTATCGATATGAACTATATATACACAATCTGTATCAGTGTGGTCTGTGCAATTGAGAAGGGTACAAAATTTTAGGATAATTAGCACTCCACTACTGTGCGCTTTTCAAGACACTTTTAGCCTCGCACTCTGTCGAAAAAATTATCGTCTGCGTTATATACGGACCGATACGACCTTCAAACCTTCAGTAAAACAGCGTACTCTTCCCTCAAATGCCGGCAAAGCGCTTGTGATTCCTGAGTTGCAGACGTTCATGGGCGGCGGTAGTCACTTTCCATCAAGTGAAATTTGCCGCCTCTATCATAAAAAAGGTATTACATCCCTACTTCTAATCCCATCCCATATTACATCACTACTTCTAATTTTACTTAAAGACTATATACTTAGTCATGTCTGCATCCCCAAAAAAGGACAAATGTCTTATAATGCACACATATTTTGTTGACTATAATTCGGCAACTCTCACGTGCTATTGCTTCGCAGTCAAAAAAAATCCGACCCCATCGTATCTATATTTAAAACTCCAATTTTCATCAGAATAATTTCGTTGCGCATTTCAATTTATCCTGGGTCTTCCAGAGTGTCATAACTCGATGTGTTCGTGGGTCACTGCTGTTGATCCTGGTGTACAGGTGTTAGTCCCACCCTACCCTAACCTAATAAGTTTAGACATTTATGTCACTGGTTGAAGGCAATAGGCTTGCCTCCTATTACGTAAATGGGACTAAAATCGGCATCGACAAAAGTCGGCAAAATGTGGACGCTCACTACGCGTGATATGTACATATGCTACAACATTTGATACTTACTGACCTTTCCACCGCAAACATTGTGTGTATTCTCCACTGCAACCAGTGAGGTAATAGGCTCGTGGATGTCCGTGCCTCTGATCCGCTTCTCAAGCTCGACCAGATCGAAGGTGCCGTCGGGCTTGTTTTCCAGGGTTGAGAGGAGGACTCCACCAACGTGTGCAGCTCCACCTGATACATCAAAGTCATTCATGACTAGATTTGTTACAATCATGGTGTTAAGATCCGACTGTTCAGTTAATTGTAGGTTCGTAAATTGGCTCTTAAATACGTTTGGACTCGATTAATAGGGAGATCACTTCAGATTTCAAATCTAGCATGTGACAATCAAACACTGTTCACGAAACGATCTGTAGTGGCCAACCCCTTGTTGCACAACATTATGTGACTTTTAATTATCAGGATCAAAACCCATTTACATTTTCCTGGAAGGTTCTATGCTCCAGCTAGTTGAAAAGAAAGCAGGTAATGTGCAATGATTACGGTGATTGTGGGAGTCGCGGCTTTACCGTTGCATCTTTTGTGGACCGTAAGACGAACGACAAAAATACTTGAGATAGAATACATATATGCTACCACCAAGAGATGAAGAAATCGCTGTAGTACCTTGTTCGTATTTGTATATGTGACTAAGATTGCCAATGAACGCCTCAGATCCCCGCTTATTGCAGTGCACCATTACTGAAAAGAAGAATTTAGATCAGTCAGACTCATAACCAAGTAGTTTCTGTGAGTTTTACGTAAAACAGTAATCAAAACGGTCGGAAACGTCACTGTGAAGCGAATGGTTATCTTACCCAGTTCCTCATGAAACTTCTACAGTTAAAGCGCTTTTGACAGTAATAAGACTAGCCTGACAAATGTTTTTAAGCTATTGCATAGCTTCTATCGCAGGCCTTGAGCGTGGAGACCGAATCCAGACATTCCGTAACGAAAATAACCTAACACCCGCCACTCCAACCGGCACAGCGGTGATACTTTTTAGTTTTGCCATCTTTCGATGAATAGCAGAACTTTTAATGGCTTTTTTGAAATATCACGCTTGTCTCTTTGGTTCAGCAACTCGCCTCTATTTAGAAGATATCAAGTCTCAAACTTATGTTTCTTATATCAGTTACCATAAACCTATAGTTTCAATGATAAATATTCCTGAATAACCTACATGTATTGTAAGATAATAAAAATATTTTGAACAATATTAACTTCTCATTTATTTAATAAAAGAAAAAAAAATGTTTTCTTATCGGTCACCACGCTCAAAAAGTGTAACTTGAATTAATATCAAAGAAAAAAAAACAAAGGAAAAAATATTGCATAAATAAAATAAATAAATAATTATAATTGCATAAGTTGATAAAAAATGCTATGCAATAGCTTTACCGCGGCAGTCCCCGAGTGCCACACGTCTTTTTTTACTACTAATGTATTTGCAGGTATATCTGTGTTTGTATAATATTTGCTGTCACCTACCAAACAATAAGTAGTAAGTAACAAAGAATGGGTGACACAAACAGTGCTGTGGTTCCCAGTCTGTGTGAAAGAAACCATCCAGTGCAATACTGACGGAAAATCAGGGGATTACTAAATTTACAATTTCCGCACACCTCATTTTAATATTGAAAGCAGATTTAGATGTTTTAAGTTTCGTAGTTTTACCGGTTTTTTCGGTGATAATAGGTCGCTCTCAGCTTTTTTTGAATTTGTAAAAAGGAAGAATTAATACAGTAAGAAGAAAAAAGGGGAGTGTACAGAAAGCTTGTAAGTCAGATAGGTTTTAAAATTATAATATAATTCGCTGTTATATAAAGTTACATCCAACTACAGGAAATTCTTCAGTTGTCCATGTGGTGACGGTTTGAGAACAGGAGTGTCACCACATAGGGTGTCTTAAGAGCCGACTGCAAAAAGAAGTAAAACTTGAAACAAACGCGTCTGGCCAGTGTGGTATGGTAGGTCAAAACTTATTTTCTAAGGAGAGGCCTATGTCCAGAAATGGACTATTGAAGGCTGTTGATGATGACAGGAACTTCATTGCCTCTTCACATACATATACTAATATCCTAATGTGTATCTCACTATTAATGCAAAACGAGCGTAATCACACAGAAAAATTCTACAATATACGATGTGATACAACTGCCTTATGAGTAGTCTATATGATTGTGCGTGAGATAAAAACATTATTAAACAAGCACAAGACTTCCTATGTAGGTACGTTTGGACACATCCGATAACACGTGGCCAGAATGACGGATGACACTCTTGCGCAACCTGTCTGTTCAATTACCTCATACATTTGACCGTCACGACGATGATCGTTGATAATGCTTTATCAAAATGGCGCTTATGTTGTTTACTGTAAAAGTAAACAGAAAAATCCATAACTATATCTATTATAAATGTGAAAGTGACTTTGTTTATTTGTTACAGTTTCACGCTAAAACCAATAAACTGATTTAAAAAAACAATGGGAAATCCAAAACGTTATCCAAACATAAAAAATCTTCCCCGCTAATTTGTCGAAATTTGACAAAATCTAATCCTCCAATACGTTCACGCGGCCAACTTAAAACCCTTATAACTTCTTTATTTCTACTTTTTGGTTTGTTCACTTCGATTTTAAAGAATTCCGGCGAAGTGTTTTTCTGTTTGGATAACGTGGCTGAGCAATCGTAAAACACACGCGAGTAACATAAGCTACTTTTTACCGCGATAATCGATATAAGCGCGGGCGGAGCCGCGGGCAAAGCTAATAAAGAATGAATAACATTGTTTCTAAGGAGAGGCCTATGTCCAGCAGTGGACTAGTATAGGCTGTTGATGTGATGTGATGTGAAGATTGTTTTCTTGAATATTAGAATGTTTGATAAGTTATGACGAAGAATAAAGACCGAAGATGGGGCGTGGGTGGACCTCCCCACAACGTGGTCCGACGACCGGGTGAAGATCACGGAAAGACATATCCAATGTCTTCCCACGATCTTCACAAGATCTGTTCTGTCTTGCGGGCAACGCAAGATCTTTTGCTGTAGCAAACTTTGGGGGAGCCGTGGACGTCTGTCGAATGAGATGATGATTTTAAGTTATTATTATAAACGGGAAATTTAACATGTTTATTTTTGGGGCATTAGTTTCCGATATTTCGACATCGTTGCAAGAGCCTACAAATTCTAAAAATACACTCTATAATTTTTTTTGTACTCCTTATGTGATTAATTGAGACATCTCAACTGTAGTTAATAATTTCAATAAGTACTACATATGTAGATATCTAAGGCAATATTGTCGCGAATCGAGCGAAACCGGTTACGATGATGTCCTTGTGTTTGTAGTTTGTTTTGACAAGGTTTATTTTAACACCTAATGAAGATGCATCGCTACTTTCATTCAGCATTGATTTTACTTTATATTCTAGCTTTTGCCCGCGACTTGAGTTGAAAATATTTGTAAAGTCTAAGTACATTAAGGAGCTGTTTTAGGTTCATCACGCATTATCACCAAAAGTGGAACTTTAGAACGTTAGGTACAAGTACTGGGTCTTCTAATTTTATTATGTAGGTAACTATAATTTAGTAGTATTTTTGTACTTCTGCGTACACTATATTTTTAGTTTTGTTTACTTGCGCTAGGAGTACATATTGATTTTCTCTGGAACCAGATATCAATAGGGCAACAAACCCGTGCGAAAACCACTCTTAGCGTAAATCAATTCCTACGTACTTAATTGTTTGCCCCTGGGCTTTATAAACTGTTACCGCAAAAGATACCTTCACCGGCAATTGAATCCGTTTAAAATTAAAAGGCAAATCCGTTGGAATAATAGGGATGCAAGATATCAGCATCGTTTGCCCTACTGCTTAACAAGTCAAAACTGGCACCGATCGCATTATTGCGAAGAAATTTAACTTGTAGTCTGGTTCCGTTACATAAATTTAGTGGCAGTCATAAGCAAAAGCAGAATTCAATAAAATGTGTTGCTTGCGAGTTTTTTTTTTCATTATTGATCTTGCATTTTGTTGAACTAATGAACACTTGATTTCCGTTCTCGCTTGATCAAAGTTCGGAAATTCTGTGAGACCAAAAACGGCAGGACCATTCAGCACTTGATTCTCGTTCACGGTTCGCTAAAGTTCGGGAATTTTGTGAGGCCAATCGGTTAGAACGTTCAGCACTTGATTCGTGTTCGCAGTTTGCTAAAGTTTGGGAATTCTGTGACGCTAAACGGCGAGAACGTTCCAGCGTTTGATTCCCGTTCACGGTTTGACGAAGTTCTGGAATTTTCAGACGCTACACGATGTGATCGTTCAACGTTTGATTCTCTACAACGGTTTTGTTCATTGATTGCTCGGTAAATAGCCAACCTATGCATATTTCCATCCTCAGAAAGCTGAGTATACTATACTATATCTATATGTGTGATAGGAAAATAAAATTATATTTATATCAGGTAATTATTGAAAAACTAATTGAATGACTAGTTGAGACTAATTGGTTAATTGAATGTAGGAAATTAGGTAAACTAACAGTATAAATGAGAAAAAAAAACAAGTTAAATATTATTAAAGTAAAAAACTTAAATAATAAAAAACAAACGTTAAAAGAATGATCAAAACAAAACAATTTCCGATAGAAAATTCCTTTTTTAAACGTTTACGCAGCGCACGCAACGAAATCTCTCAAAAAGAATAATTTTTACCCCGTTTTTGCAAACAAACAAACTGTTCAGCTTTATAATATTAAGTATAGATCGGTATCAAACATAAGGTGGTATTTGATATATGACTCCAATACCAAGAGCGTAGAAAGCAGTGTTGCCACTCTAGAGGATTGTCCACTAAAACTAGTGGTTTCGTTTTCTGTTAGTGGCGAATAATGCTTTTAGTGTCTAGTGGATTTTTCTAGTGGTAAGATTGTAGAGGACTTTGAAGATGATGTTGAAAGATGAATTGTGAGAACCGAAGACCAATTCTCGTAATAACAGTTCCGTCTCAATTCAGTACCGATCAACTTTCAATCTCACAACTGTCATAAAAGTTATTTAGATGTAGTGTAGTATTAATATAGTAAAGTATTACTAAGACTAGCGATTCCCGATTCGATTTTCAGTTACAATACGATATAATCACAATCAATCAGTAGGTTCACAAATGCAGATATTCAACTACTACTGTCTCTCTGCAACTTTTGATCCATCCTAAGGTTGCCTGGAAGAAATTGCATTTAGCAATAATCGCTGTGTTCCTTTCTTGTAACTCTGTAATTTAGTGTGCAAATAAAGAGTTATCTATCTATCTAATCACATTACAGTCAACGTTGAATATTTAATACTTTACTACGAAAATACCATTTATGATAGTTGTGAGATAAAAACTTGATCGGAACTCAATTGAGACCGAACTTTTATTATTAGTGTGTGTTGATCTATGACTTTAGAGTCTAAATAAAAGACGACGAGACAATTTAATTTTTTTTATGAAATAAAGAGAGTTTGAGTGCTTTACTATTGTACGAGAATTGGCCTTCAGGTTGTCCTAGCCGTAGTCACGGGCTGAATCGCTAGCTCCTGTAGATTTATAACTAGTTAATAGCTTACTAGCAACCCGAATTCTTATTCTTCTTCGAGCCCGCGAATTCTATGAAATTCTCGGATTGTCTACTACTGTAATATGTATGTATTATAC